AAGTTTTAATTAGAAGGTAGTGCTATAAGTTGGAAATAATAATCTATCATCTATTGAGTGATGGTTCTAACTGTACAACATTAACAAATACATATAAAAGGCTCCACAAACTATAATTGTCTCGATGTTTAGTTAAGAAATCTGAGATTAAACAAATAATTTGAATAATAATAGGCAATAAATATTGGAGTCATGATTTCAATTCCACCAGTTTGATTTCAGATTCACTATTGTTAGTCACTTGCTAAATTGCATAAAAATAGACGGTGGCTGGAGAAACTGAGCCTAGTGGCCCAAAGAATTAAGTTCAATTTTCAAAGTCCAGTGCACTTGAGATAAGAAGCTTGAAATAAAGGGCTGTGTGGGTTTCCCTGGCCTCCATTTCTAAGGTACCAACCTCTCCTGCTCCTCAGTTTCTCACTGCCCTGTTTCCCAGCTTTCTTCATCTGACCACTACTTCCTCCATACCCCCACCCCCGGTCATTCAGTCCTCCCTCTCCTGCTACCACACAGATGACTTTCTCTTCTCCTCAAATCCTCTCTCACCACACTCACTGGAGCTCCCATTCCATCCATCTCTTTCACTTTCTGCCTTTGCCTGATCATCTCCATCAACACATCCCCACTCACCATTGGTCCCTAAGCTTCTCTTCAAAATGTTGCTTGGTTTTTCTCTTCACTGTTCCTCGGTCTGTATTTCTTTTCCCAATGATCTCTCCTTATCTTTCTGCCATCAGTCTTCTTTTGATGAGTCTTGCAAGCCTCTCTTTAACACTTAGTCTGGTATTTTGCTTGTTCATCTGTACCCTTTTAACTCACATTCCCCCTTCCTTTGTGCCTCAATTTTGTCTTCTAACTTACACAACTCTATTTCTCTCTTACACTCAACTTGCCCTTTGCTGTCCTTTAACATAACTATAGTCAACTTTAATCTCCCCGTTCATCATTTTCTCTTATATCACTGTTCTCTAGTCTCCCTCACAACATATTCTTTGTAAGGCCATCAGTGCTCATGTTTTCCTTCCGATGCTCATCATACCGTTCTCCTAATCTTCTCCTAATCTCCTAATTCCTCTGTCTGTCTGTCAGTCTTACATTCAGTATTCTTTGGGACCTATTCTCAGTACTCTATTCATCATTGTCTCATAATTACTCACCCAGTCTTTCATCTGTCAGTAGATCTTCAGTCTTTCAAAGACACTTGGCATTTTCTGCCAAAATCTGAAGTACCAGAATTTTAAGAAAGAGATGACATTTTGTTTTAGGAGATACATTGTATAATAGGGAGACGAGAAAGTAGGAGGAATTGGAGGAAATTCTAAGAAAATTCATGTTACCTGGAGTACATTATGCTAAGTGACGTTAGTCAATCACAAAAGAACAAAAATTGTATGAGATCACTATTGTAAAAAGCCAAGAAAAGGTTTTCACATAAAAGGAACATACTTTGATGATTATCAGGGGTGATAGAAAAGGGGGAATAATTCCTTGACTAGAGGGTTGATGGTATTATTAAGTGCCATTGAGTAGGTTCCAACTCATAGTAACCCTGTATAGGGTTTCTGAAGAGAGGCTGGTGGATTTGAATTGCTACACTTGCTATTAGTGATCCAATACTTATCCTACATTGCCACACAGAGTGTTTTGTAGTTGTTAAGTGCTGTTAAGTCGGTTCTGACCCATAGTGACCCTGTATAGGGTTTCTGAGGAGCAGCTGGTAGGTTTGAACCAACTTTGCAGTCCAGTGCATTATCCTGTAGCACCACACCAAGACTACCACAGAGAGTTGTTGTTGTTGTTATGTGCCGTGGAGTCAGTTCCAACTCATAGCAACCCTGTACAGGGTTCCCAAGTAGACACATGTTAATTTGGGTGACAAGGAAGGTAATATATGAGAGGGAGGTAGGCAGAAGAAGATAATGTCAGGAAAAGACATGGGGAGGAATCAAAAATTAAATGGAACCGAGGTAATGACTGTTAAATATTTTTTTAAAAAAGAAAATGCACATTTACTTCAAGAATAGCTAAACTATATTTATTGTTTACTATTTGTCTGCCCTTATGCTAAATTCTGTCGACATAATGTGCTAAATGAAATTCACTTTCATTCTTTAGATTAGGAGATACAATTTTCTCTACTGATGAAGAAACAGAAGCAAATATTATGTCAGATACTAAGATTCAGGGCAGAAGGAATTGTCTTATAAGTACTTCTCCTAGTAATGTTGTTTTTAGTATTTAATAAACTAATTTGAATAAGGGTCAGACTTTTTATAGTTGCTGGTATTTAGAGGTACTCTTACTGATATGTCTGTTTAGCAAAACCTAAATTGGAAACATTGCTCTAGTAAGATTACCAGATTTATAAACTGTGTCAGGTCTTCAGGTAGATTTCAGAGGAGGTATATCTTCAAATGGCAGGAAAACAATATGCACACAGGAGAAGTTTTGTCTGTGCAATCTAAAACTAGGCCCGTGTGCCTGCCACCCTGTCCACTGGCCCACGTGCCCTCCACCCCACCCGCCGCGGCCAGTAGACAAGACCTAACCACACCTACTACACATTACAGACAAAAAGGGATGACTATCTCCTGATCATATTAATAATAATTATAATAAAATAAGAATAATCGTGCCCAACAAGAAACAATTAACATTATCAAAGCACGTCCAAAAGCAGAAGAGAACAGCAGATGCAAATGAGCTAGAGACAGACAAAGGCTTTATAGAGGAGGAAGAGCAGGTTCTGGATATGTCTGAAAGGGAATTCAGAAGAATGATATGGAAACATATTCAAGTACTATGAAAAGGGGTCGAGGAAAATAAGGAAGAAGTAAGGAAAGTACTGCAGGAACAATCTAATAGGATTGACACAGCATTGGAAACAATTCAAATCCTGCAAAAAGATGTCCAGGTGATCAATAATAAGATATTAGAAATAGACAATAGGCTGAAAGGGAAAAGGAGCAGACTAGAAGAGATGGAAGCCAGAACTAGCCAACTGGAAGACAAGTCTCTCAATACTGCCAAGATAGAACAGCAAACAGCTAAAAGGATAAAACAATCTGAAGAGAGTCTAAAATTCATGCTGGATAACATGAAGAGGAATAATGTAAGAATTATTGGCATTCTGGAACAAGAAGAATCAAAGAAGTCCACAGAGGAGATAGTTGAAGAGCTTCTGGAAAAAACCTTCCCAAACATCTTGAAAGATGAGAAGATAAAACTAGGTTAAGAAGAAAACAAATCACATGAAATTAGAATAAAGGTAACAGCCTTAAAGGTGTAGATTGCTGTTACTGTAGTTGTTAAGTGCTGTTGAAGAGGCTCTGACTCACAACGACCCTGTATATGGTTTCTAAAGAGCAGCTGGTGGGTTTGAACCACTGATCTCATGATTAACAGTCCAGCGCGTATCTAACACTAGGATCCAAAAAGTGTACAGCACCTGGTATTCCCAGGCAATCTCCCATCCAAGTACTAACGAGGTCAGACCCTGGGTAGCTTCTAAGATCACACACAATAGGTTGTGTTATGGGAGGTATACCCATAGATTATATATGCTAAGTATTAGTAAATTCAAAGATAAGAAGAAAGAGTTTCCCAAAAGCCCTAAAATGATGTCTGAGGGGTGAGTTACTGGATAATGAGAATGATACGTTCTTTGTGAGGGCTGACTTTGGAGAGAAGCAGGATACCTCTTCTTCTGACACGTGGAGTGGATCCTATCACTGCAAGAAAGAGGTTAAATGGAGAATCAAATGGATGAGGAATCTGCTGTAGACAGTCTCGGTTAGATTAGGAAAAGGAGAGTTGTATTCTACGAGAATTGAAAAGTTTGCAGAGGCAAGATCATATACAGGAAACAATTAGGTAGTAAGGGAATTTCTGGGAAATTGAAAATCATGTCAAGGTTGAGCTTATAGATTTTTTTGAGCCAAGTCTTTTAGTAGCAGGTTAAGAGCAGGGGTAGGGAAAGCTCTTGATGAGATTTACTTAAGGCAGAGGTTGTTGTTAAGGGCCGTCGAGTCGGTTCTGACCCACAGTGACCCTGTATAGGGTTTTGGTGGGGAACCTTTTTCTACCAACATTTATAACATTAACTGTGGGACATACAAAACTATCAGTTTTTGAATGAGCTTGCTATATTTGGTCAAACACTTAATTAAATATCCCCTGAAAGAGCTCTGGTAGTGTAGTGGTTACGAATCGGGCTGCGAACTGCAAGGTCAGCAGTTCAAAACTACCAGCTGTTTGTTCCGCAGGAGAAAGATGAGGCTTTCTGCTCCTGTAAAGATTTACAGCCTCAGAAACCCTATGCAGGGTGGCTATGAATTGGAACAGACTCCATCGCACACCACCATCACCAATGTGATGACTGGAGTCTTGGTGTGACGCTGTGGGTTAATGCACTGGACTGCAAAGTAGGTGTGAACTAACTGCACGGTCACTGGTTCAAGCTCACCCGCCACTCCTCAGAAACCTTATACAGGGTCGCTATGAGTCAGAACCAACTGGAAGGCACTTAACAACAACAATGTGACGACTAGAGTCCTGGTGTGGTGCCATGGGATAAGCACTTGACGTCAAGGTCAGTTTGAACTGTAAAGTTGGTGGTTCAAACTCAACCAGTGGCTCCTCAGAAACCCTATGCAGGGTCACTATGAGTCAGAACCGACTCAACAGCATTTAACAACAGCACAATGTGATGACTGGAGCTGCAGTTGCCTAGAGAGGGGTAGACCCAATGATTTTACAAACTGTATAGGGGGGCATGCAAAAATGGGATGGGAATAATAGAATGTGAGGAAAAACAAGGAAACAGCTTGGGCTGATTGAAACTATAGTGGCTGGTTGAGAGGAGATTGAGTCTAGGGAGTGCAGATCAAGTTGAACAGCCAGCAGAAGATGGGTGTTCTGTGATAGTGGGAGGGCTTATGCTTACTAGCCTATTAACTTTTACACTGCCACCTTTACCAGCGTGAATAGGTCTCCTGAGGATGAGAATAGCCACCCTATCAAGAACCAACTTGAGCTTCTCTACATTCCTGCTGACGGGCTTCCCAGGCCTGGAGTGGGCTCACCACTGGATCTCATTGCCCATTTTTATAGGATACCTTGTGGCCATTCTAGGTAATATCACAATTTTACATCTGGTACGAACTGACCCTTCCCTCCACCAACCCATGTACTATTTCTTGGCCATTCTGGCTGTGACAGACTTGGGCCTGTGCATGTCTACACTGCCCTCAGTGTTAGGTGTGCTGTGGTTCGATGCTCGGACCGTAAGCCTGGTACAGTGTGTTCTGCAGCAGCACTTCCTCCACTCCTTCTCTTTCATGGAGTCAGCCGTGCTCTTTGCCATGGCTCTGGACCGCCTTGTGGCCATCCGTTTCCCACTGCGCTATGCTTCTTTGCTCACGGGCCCTCGAGTAGCATTGGTTGGGGTGGTGCTGGGCATGCGGAGTGCTGTCCTTACTGCTGCACCCTCAGTGCACCTATTAAAATTTGATTACTGCCACCCAGGGGCACTCTCTCATGCCTACTGCCTTCACCAGGACATGATCCGTTTGGCCTGCTCTGACACTCGATTCAACAGGATCTATGGACTATGTATGATCATGCTAGCCATGGGCTCTGATGTCCTCTTCATCCTGCTCTCCTACACTATCATCCTCCGCACTGTGCTGGCCATTGCCTCTGCAGGGGAGCGAGTCAAGGCCCTCAACACCTGCGTCTCCCACATTCTGGCAGTGCTCTGCTTCTATGTGCCAGTGCTTGGTCTATCCATTGTGCACAGATTTGGGCACCACCTCTCACCCCTAGTACACATCCTCATGGGCACCATCTCTGTGCTCTTCCCTCCCCTGATGAACCCTGTCATATACAGCATCAAGACTCAGCAGATCCGCCATGCTATCCTCAAGGTGGTTTCACTGGGAAAGATGCAATAAGACATTGGGGAAGAACCACTACATTTGGAATTGATTAATGAGTTAAAACTTAGTGTTAAAGCCCTCTTATCACAAAATAATCTCTGATCACATATTTTAATTTGGTCAATTAATTGTACATCATGTATTGACTCTATTTTTAAAACTAAATAAAGTTACTTATTACTATTAATGTATATAACTATAAACTTATGGTTACTATTTTCTTACATGAAAGAATGATTCAGTTTTGCTTTTTACACAAGTGTTCGCAAGTTTATAGCCATTTAAAAATATTTTTCCTCTACTAAATTGTTATGATTCTAATTTTATAATCAATGTTTTTACTAATGTTATGGAGAGATGAGTTGTCACTTCATATTACTGGATTCATATATTTGTCACCATTCTTTGCTATATAATAGGTCTTTAGTTTTATCTAGGATGACTTCATGCTGAATCCAAATGGAGATTTGCAATTTAGGTTTTTAACCCACATGTCCTGGTGTGGCACTGTGGCTTAAAACACTGGGCCACACGGTCAATTTGAACCACAAGGTTGGTGGTTCAAGCTTATCAGCCGCTCCTTGGAAACCCTATACAGGGTCACTCTGATTTGGAACTGACTCCACGGCACTCAACAACAACATCCATATTATAGTCTAAGGCAGAAATTACCCCTAAGATCCTGCCCTTATTTTCCTTCATGTTCATTTAATTCTACAATTATAAAAATACACTCAAGTTTTACAATTATTTTGATTCTCTTCTATCTTCACTGTTCGTATTTGCCTTTAAAAAATCATAGTCGTAAAAAGTATGCCTATATGAAACATTTGTTGTTGTTAAGTTTTGCAGACCATGTAAGCTTGGTCAGAGGTTCGAGGCCCTATAGACCCGAGTGTAACAAATGAGGCCACTGGCAGTCAATAGCAAATTGTTTTTTCATCTTAGTGTTCAGTTATATTTATTAATTGCAGACAAGAAGCCCTTGATATACACAGATAAATGTAATATTTTCCTAAAAGCCCAGACTGTAAAAGTTGCAAGGTCAAGCCTTCCTCCAAAGGATTAACTAAAAACATCTTAGCTACTTCACGGTTCTTTGTTCTACAAACAAAAGAGTCATCCTCCCTGAATCTCTCCCAAGTGTTAGCTATTCAGCCAAGTTCATGAAAACCTGGCTCAGGAAGCTAAAACAGAAGGACTCTGCCCAAGCTTTTGTCCTTACCTCTCACCTTCCCCCAACTGAGCTCAGGGGCTATAGATATGTTAATTGAGCCTGAGAAACCAAGTTGTGGGCCTGGGATTCGAACCAGCGAAGTACGATGTAAAGTCTGGAAAAGCACTGATGTTAGCTGTACCTTGCCTTAGTCCCTCCCAGCTTGGTGTGAAGCTCCTCCCCTAAATAAAACAGAGGCCCGGGCCTCCCCAGGTGTGCATTACGGGTTGGAAGGCATGCAGTAAAGATTTCAGTGCATTATGGGTTGGAAGGCATTCAGTAAAGATTGCAGTGCATTACAAGATGGAGGGCATGCAGTAAAGATTGCAGGGCAGTGAGTTGCTGCCTGCAGAGGCCACGATGCCTGTAGTCCCAAGTCTGCCCACCAGTGATGTATCCACCCTGGCTTTGGGGTGCCTCCTTGTCCCCCTTCTTCTGTCTGTCTGTGTATTCTTTCGCTAACTCTATCGCCGCTGGATCTCCCCTCCTCATGAACCAAACACTCGTGAACAACACCCCTATGTCGAGGTTAGACCCCGACAGTTAAGTGTCATTGTGTCAGTTGTAACTCATAACCATCTGGGACCAGTGATTCCACAAGGTTCGTAGCTGGAGCCTGCCAACTGCTCATCCAGAGAAAGAGGAGGATTTCTGCTCCTCTTTAGGATTAACGTCTCGGGAGCCCTATACAAGGTCACTATGAGTTGGAACCAACTCGACAGCATGTAACAGCAACAACAACATAGGATTTCTGAGAACCAGCTGATAGGTTTGAACGATCAACCTGGCACTCAGCAGTCCAGTGCTTATCTTACAAAGTCACACCAGAAATGTTGTTGTTGTTGTTGCTTAGTACCATGGAGTCGGTTCCTACTCATAGTGATCCTGCACATGATTTCTGAGGCTGCAAATCTTCACTGGAGCAGAAAGCCTCCTGCGAAACAGCTGGTAGTTTGGAACTGCCGACCTTGAAGTTAGCAGCCCAATTTGTAACCACTATGCTAGCAGAGCTCCTTTATAAGAAAATAGTAGCTGTGAATTGAAGAAAACAGCATAGTGTAATAGGAGGTGAATAACATGATGGCAAAAATATTTTGGTGAGATAAATCTAAGAGTGTATCTTAAATAGAGTTAATTATGGAGAAGGAAAAGAGACAGTTGTAGGAAAGAAAAGAGGATGTTGGTGACTCAATTCCTGTGAAAGAAGCTACATAAAATAGATGATAATAAGTTTTGAATAAGAGAAGAGACATCATTTCTTCTGGAAGAGGCAGAGACAAGAGTTCAATTTAAATGTGTTGGTGACAGAGAGGGAAGTTCTCATTTTGGGGCTTTCATTTTGTTAGTGAATTAGATGGTGAGATATTTTTATTGTAGTTTAGGGAAGTTGTGAATTTGGTTTTTGAGAATCTGAAACTACCCAAATGACTATTTTTGTTAGGTTCATATATGCTAAGAAGCATACTGATTTATTAATTCCTTGAAGATAAAAAAAATTCTCTCTCATACTTTTCTATTTGTTTCCTCTTCCTGGGCCATAGTTATTGTCTGGTTACTTTCTATTCATATATTTCAATCACAGTGCACTGAGGGAAACAATGTTGAGTATTACAAATAAAAGAGGTTTATTAGAACAAAGTATTTACAAAATGTTGGGCAGTGGTCCAAAAGGACAGGTGGCAAGGTAGATACTGGATGAGTAAAAAGAAAACAATTTCTGACTATGAACCCAGAAATTAAAAAGCTGCTCTCACCCTGACATAATTCCACTAGCATGACAAGTTGTGGCACAGCCAGACATGCTGCCTTCACCAGGAACTTCAGGTCAAAGCTGTCCTAGGTGTTGAGGTGCTTAGGTGTCCTGGCAACCACCAGGAATGTGCAGCCACTCACATTTCTTACACAACACAAAAAAGGACTTTTCTCCTTCTACTTTCTTATTTCCTGCAATGCTTTTCACAGATAGAACCTACCAGAAAGATGTTGTTGTTGTTGTTAAGTGCCGTCGAGTCGGTTCCGACCCATAGCGACCCTGTACAGGGTTTCCGAGGGTGTAAATCCTTACGGGAGTAGAAAGCCTCATCTTTCTCCCGCGGAGCGGCTGGTAGTTTCGAACCGCTGACCTTAAGGTTCGCAGCCCGATTCGTAACCACTATGGAAATTACAACAATTGTAGCTTGTTCTTTCTTTGTTTCAGCAGTTCTAAGCAAGTATATTGTTGTGAATATTATCGTGTCGGTTCCACCCCACAAGAACCCTATATAGGGTTTCCGAGGAGTGGCTGATGGGTTTGAACTTCTGACCTTGTGGTTCAAACCAGTGCATATTCTACAGATCCACACCAGGAATCTGGGTTTACAGATGTACTTAATGGGGCTGAGAGACAACAAATAAAAAAATAAGCACATTATGTTTTAGATTTTAAATTTTAACATACACACCACTTCCTCAAGAAAGCTTTGAGTGGATTCCAAGATGTTTCCTTGCAGCAATTCCATGAGTGTCCCATTATTATCCCACCCTGAGTCTCAACAAAATGGATCACAATTGCCTAATTGTTGTTTGTTATGTACCCTAGACCATTAGCTTCATCAAATAAGGAAACATATATCCAGAAACAAAGATGATAAGGCAAAGAAGGGAAGGGAACGTAGCTTAATGGACACACAACAAACAGAATGGATATAATGAGAATGCTGACACATTGTGAACATTGTGACCAATATCAGTTTATATTGAAATTATTAATGGCAATTACATTAACTGTGCAAACTTTCACCTAAAGAATAATAAAATACTGAAAAAGAACAAAACTATGTCATCCAACAGAATTTCTTTCTCCAATAAGCAGAGATGATGATTTAGCACTGCTTACATCTTAGAAGATGTAAGAGAAAAGAAGGAAAGTGGTATAGAACTCCTTCTAGCAAACCAGAACAAATCATTAATAAATTATTTTAAATAGTTTCCTCTTTAAAGTAGACTAGGATTTAATCCATTTGTTCATTTTTTCATTCAATAAAAAAATCATTGAGGACTAGTAATCTGATTAACTTGTTGATGGGGCAGATATAAGTTTGAGAAGATAGGGAAAGATTAAATTAAAGGTGATACACATATTTGAAGTGTCAGTAAACATATGGTGATATAATTTACTGAAATGAAAAAAAAAAAAAAAAAAGGGATTGTAGACAAACAGACCTAATGGGAAAAAAATAGGAATAGTATTATTTGGATTTTAGAAATGTCTTTAAGACATCAAAGGATGACATCAACTTTTTATCTGGATGGTTGTTTTTGAAATTCAAAAATGTAATTTTGTGAGCCATAGCATATAAGTGGTATGCAAATTTATGAAAACATTAATAACATTCAGGGAAAGAAGATAAAGACAGAGGCACGATGGGCCTGAACTGAACCTTAAGGAACTCTAGTGTTCATGGATCAATTAGAGAAAGGGAATCCAGAAACAGAAGTTAGAGGGAACTATTAATGAACTAAAATAAAGGACTTAACAATTTGGAGTCATTAAATCCATGAAGAATACGATTTTTAAAAAGAGAAAACAGTCAATTCATTAACGCAACTGAAAGCCAGAAATAACATGGTAAAAACCGGAAAATCAGAGTGAGCGTTTTTCATGTCAGACATTACTAATTGACTTGATTTTTATTACATGAAGGTATCAACATGAAAACTAATTTAAAATTGCAATGACTGGAAAAAATAGTTTGTGAATTATGCATTATTCAGTTTTTGTCTTGTTTTATGGTGATAGCAAACAAATCAAATTTTCAGT